CTCTCTCTCTCTCTCTCTCTTTCTCTCTCTCTTTCTCTTTCTCTCTCTCACTCTTTCTCTCTCTCACTCTCTTTCTCTTTCTCTCTCCCCCTCTCCTCCTGTAGAAAGCTTCTAAGAGACTGCCATGTTTAACCCTGTGGACCAGTCTCATACAATAATACAACAATGTGTTTGCCCGTGTGTGTGTGTGCGCGCTGATGCTTTGTATTGCAGTAGCCAATGTTTCACTCACACGAGTTCACCTCCCACCCAAACCTCCAACCCCACCCCAACTTATGCCCCCCTCTCTCTTTCTCTCTCTCTAACACACACACATACCCACTCATACATACATGCACGCGTGCACACACACACACACAGACACTCAAACCTACTTCACAAACACATTAACACACAGGCACACATGCCCGCACGCACACACGCACGCCGGCGCACAGACACTCACACATGCACACACACACTCACACTTCATAAACACATTTTTTCTTCCACTGCTTTAATTAGAATAATCCCCACCCTCTTCAAAGAAACGTTTGAGTGGACTTTGGCTCATCTAGCCTTGCACGTGAAAACAATTAATATAGACCTCTTTCTTCATTTGTGAAGCATGAGTTCGATTTTATTGATGTGTGCTGTAACATTTAATTGTAGCTCGCTGTTGCACGTGCTTTTCTTATGATTTTTAATGCCTTCGTCACTGCTACCACAACCACCTTCGCCACCACCTTCACCATCATCCTTGTGCTCACCACCACTGGCGACGGTGCTGCTTATCCTCGCTGGCGTGCCGCTTGCACTGGGTTTGAACTCTCTCTCCTCCACAGAAAAGGGTAAGCGCTTCAGTCTGTATGCGTTGCCACATTGCTTTTGTAGCCCGAATGACTCAGATTTGTGTAGAAAGTATGCAGCAGGGTTTTACTTTTTTTTTTTTTTTAAATCCAGGAGATTATACAGAGGCTACTTTATACATAATGTGTGTTGGGAATTTAAGTATTGATATGAATTAATTATTGTGCTGTTTCCTCATCTGTCTTTGGCATGGCCATGTCAATGGTTCTCCTGCTATTCTTCTTTAGTTCTTGCTCTGTTTTTTCTTGATGATGATGAAGATGACGATGATGATGATGATGAAGATGACGATGATGATGATGATGAATTGGAAAGCGCATAGAGCTTGCTGTGAAGCTTAGATTATGCGCTATATAAATGCAATTATTATTTCTGTTGTTATCATTATAGTTATGGAAGGCTTTTTGTTCATCCTTGCATGTTGCTGTGTTGTTTATGTGGTATCCTGTAACCTACCCATATATATGTATAGCCTGTAATCGTGGTGAAAATTATCCTTAACGTGTGTTGATGCTGTGTCGTGTGATGCCTATATTCAGAATGGAGTTTGACAGTTTTGGTTTTTGCTTAATAAATAATACCAGTGGGGTTTTTATGTTGGTTCTGGGAGAGGAGAGGAGGGGATGTTTAGTTTCTGTTTGGGTTGTTTATTCAGGGTTGTTTTGGGGTTATTGTTGTTGTTTTTTTTGGGGGGGTGTATGAAAAGCATCAATTTGGCACAAATGGAAAAACCTGAGACTGGTAGCTTCACTCGTTTGTTTGGGTGTTTGTGTTATTTAATTGGTTCATAGATTTTAATTGTCCATGCGAAAAAGCATTACAGAAAAACAAACTCTGTTTAAAGTTATACTTTTTCTATTTGTTTTTTGCTACTATTTTTTAGCAGTTTTTTGACGCCATGTAGATACAGAAAGAAATTAGATGTGGCTCACTGACTTAGGTTGGGAATATGTAGTCGCTCCTCAGTGGAATCATCAGAAATAGCGAGCAACTGCATCAATGACTTTCCTGAGTAGTCATAATGGTGTGTGCGTTATATTTAAATTTAGACTTTTTTAAAGATCGGATTTACTCATCTCCTACAAGAAAACTATAGAAATAAAACTTCTAAGACTGCATTTGGAATGACTCCCCCCTCCACACACTCTCTCAACCCATCTTTTTCCCTTACTGATCTCCTTCAAATAACTATAAATAAGCTGTTGTGATGTAAAGGTCCTACCAAAAACAACATATCCTTTCTCTGAGAAGTGTGTTTAGATATTCTGATGGCACTTATATATGACTTAATTATGTTGCAAGTGCCGTAAATTGCGTACTAAAACATACCCAAAAAAAACCCCAAAATTTTCTGAAATAATCTGGAGATAAGAAGGCTGAGTTATTCAGTGAAGTCTGTGCTGGACATGTAGCTTATTCAGTTTTCTTCCTCCTCTGCATATAAATTATAATATTTTTCCTCTACACTGCCTGGTTGTTTTGATTGGGGTTTTTTTTCAGAAGCAACTAGCTGTTTCTAAAGATTATTATGACTCTCCTCAGTCTCCATGGTTTAATCATAATATTACGAGAGCCTTTTCTGTATTCTTACAGCGCTGCTCTGTCCCCTATGAGAGGCAATTTTAAGAGAAAGAGAGACTACCCCCCCCCCCCCATTTAACACACTGCACACTAACAGTGTTCTTGCTAGAGAGCTGGAAGGATTTGGATTGACTAAAATCAACATGTTGTGCTTCTCTGAATCAGCTGTTGAGTCCAACGGGCGATCTTTCTTTTCAAACATACTATTTTGGGAAAACAGGGTGCATTGTAGATAGTAGCAGGGGGGGGGGGGGGGGGGACAAAAAGCATGGGAAAACAATGGAAGGTGTTTTTGTGTTTTCTGGGGGGGGGGGGGGGGGGGGGGGAGGAGGACAGAAATGTGTGCATTAATGGTCTCAAATTGGTTGTAATCAACCATCCATTTTCATTACGACATCAAACATCATTTTCTCAGGCAAGGGCATCTAGTGGTGGCGGAAAGTCAACGGACGACATTGTGGATGATGTAGCGACTGACATTCTGAGCAAACTGCCACCCAACTTTGACACCGATGCTGCACTGAGGAAGTACCCAACCTCCTACAGGTAACTTATTAGTAGTAGTAGTAGGAGTAGTAGTAGTACTAGTAGTAGTAGTAGTAGTAGTAGTAGTAGTAGTGTTATTGTCATTGTTATTTTTTATTATTTTTATTATTATTATTATTATTATTATTATTATTATTATCATCATCATTATCATTATTATCGTTATCATTATTATTATTATTGTTATTATCAGTATTTTTAGAATTATTATTATATTATTATTATTATTATTATTATTATTTTTGTTATAATCATCATTATTACTATTATTATTTCTATCAATCTTATTATTATTATCTTTATTATCATTAGTTTTAATATTAGTAGTATTAGTAGTATTGTTGTTGTTAATATTATTGTTATTATTATTATTACTATTATTATTATTATTATTGTTATTAGTAGTATTATCATTATCTTGTTTGCACAAATGCCTCGCATTGTGTTTTCCCTCCTGGTCAACAGTCAGAGCATGAACACTGTCCTGGTTCAGGAGATGGTCCGCTTCAACCGACTGCTGGGCACCGTCCGCACCAGTCTGGCCAACATCAAGAAAGCCATCAAGGTAACGTCCTTCCTGTCTCTCATTTGTGTTCTTCAAGGGACTTTAGATTTTGTTTGGATTTTTCCCCAACCCCCCAACTTTTCTTTATTGTTTCCTTTTATCTATAAGAGGGATATGATTACCCATCTGACAGATGAAGAAACTCAAAAACTTTTTTAAAAATCCCTGCTAGGGAGTCGAATTACCGTCTACTGCCTGTGACGGTAAACAGCCTAATCACATATTGGTAGTGACATACCAGCTCTCCTACATTTTTGGCTGCTGCCAAATTGTTACTACTATGTTTAACTATTTCAGGACATAACCTATATGATGCAGCATAAAACATGACTCAGCTATTCTCATGAGGCCCTTTTATCGGGAATGTGTCTTGAAAGGGTTAAGTCATTTTTACTGCTGATTATTCTTGAACCATCAAATGATCGATCTCATGCCTTGTGTATGATTTCCAATCTCTATTCTACCTATCCCTCTTCCCCTGCCCAGCCCTATTCAAAAACTGACCTCAAATTAAAAAACTTATCTCAACATTAATTTTCTTCCTCCCCCCAGGGTCTTGTGGTTATGTCGGCTGACCTTGAGGAGGTCGTGCTGAGCATTCTTAAGGGCAAGATCCCCGGCATGTGGATGAAGCGCTCCTACCCATCTCTGAAACCTCTGGGAAGCTATGTCAACGACTTTATTGCCAGACTCAAGTTCCTACAGGATTGGTACGATGTTGGACCGCCTCCAAATTTTTGGATTTCCGGCTTCTTTTTCACCCAGGCCTTCTTGACAGGAGCCCAACAGAACTATGCCAGGAAGTGAGTGGTCGTTTACCTAAATTGGTTTGGTTTATTAATGTGTATAACAGTAACTTATAATCATGTGTGATAATGATGAGTTATAAATGAAGGGGTCAAGTGAAAAAAGATCTGGAAAAGGCCTTTTTTTTTAAAATCAGGGCGCTAGCCCTTTACTTTCTACAGTACCTGTAAAATACCTCTATGAAATTATTCAAGTGAAAACCAAGTAAGTGATTCACAAACTGTATTTTGAAAAAAGAAAGAAAGGTTTAGAATAGACTAAGTCATGGTAAGATTAATTGGACTCAACATGTTTTTCACTTGACCCTTTGGACTCATAATAATAATAAAAATAATTGGGGAAAAAGAACTAAATTAATTAATTAATGATGATAGTAATAAAATTTACTTTTGTGACGCCCACTCCCTCGTGGCTCTAGGTGCTTCACATTATAATAAAATCTTCACAGCTTACACAATGACATGTTTCGGGCATACTGAATTGTTCATTCAATCGAACAACAATTCTTTCAAATACACTAATACACATGCACCGGCAATGTTGTACCAACAAGGACGTTCTGATAAAAGAGCACATACCAGAGTAAACCAGTATATATAAAAAGACAAACACTGTGGCTTAATTAATCAATTAATGTAATGACTACATATCTGTGTATATGCTAAACCTTTGTGTGTTGATGTTCTGCTATATCCATCCAAAATTTCCCATGTGGATCAATAAAGTTGATCTTCTCAAATCTTATCCTGTCTTATCTTATCTTACCATACCTTACCACATCTCACCTCACCTCACCTTACCTTACCTAGCCTTACCTTACCTTACCTAACCATACCTTACCTCACCTTGTCTAACCTTACTTTATTTCATCTTATCTTATCTTAACTTACCTTACCTTACCTTATCTTACCTTACCTTACCTTACCTTATCTTACCTTACCTTACCTTACCTTACCTTACCTTACCTTACCTTACCTTATCTTATCTTAACTTATCTTATTATTTCTTATCTCATCAATTGCTGATGCATATCTTCTGTCTCCAGGTTCACTATTCCCATTGACTTGTTGGGTTATGACTATGAAGTCCTCGAGGACAAGGAGTATGACGAGGCTCCTCAGGATGGTACGATAACCTCAGTTTTTTTAGTTCTTCTCTCACTCACGAGAGTGAAATACTTTATTAGTAGTAGTAGTTATCCTCACATGCAAGAAACTGATAACATCAGTTTTTTTAGTTATCCTCACACTCAAGAAGCTGATAACATCAGCTTTATTAGTAATCCTCACACTCAATTAGAACATCAGTTTTTTTTAGTTCTCCTCACACTCATGAGAGTGAAATACATTATTATTATTAGGTATCCTCACATGCAGGAAACTGATAACATCAGATTTATTAGTAATCCTTACTCTGAAAAACTGATAACATCAGACTTATTAGTAATCCTTACTCTAAAAAACTGATAACATCAGATTTATTAGTAATCCTTACTGTAAAAAACTGATAACATCAGATTTATTAGTAATCCTTACTGTAAAAAACTGATAACATCAGATTTTTTAGTTATCCTCACACTCAAGAAGCTGATAACATAAGATTTATTAGTTATCCTCACATGCAAAAAACTGATAATGTCAGTTTTTGCAGTTATCCTCACACTCAGGAAGCTGACAACATCAGTTTTTTTTAATTAGTAATCCTCACACTCATGGAAGTGAAATATATCAGTTTTATTAATAATCCTCACATTGAAAAAGTGAAATAATATTGCAATGTCTTGTTGGTCCAGGTGTCTACGTTTACGGCCTGTTTGTGGATGGTGCCAGGTGGGACCGGAAGACGAAGAAATTGAACGAGTCCAACCCCAAGGAATTGTTTGACTCCATGCCAACGGTACGTTCTTTTTCCCCTACATCATCTATCTAACCATGCCAACGGTACATTCTTTTTCCCCAACATCATCCATCTAACCATGCCAACAGTACGTTCTTTTTCCCCAACATCATCCATCTAACCATGCCAACAGTACGTTCTTTTTCCCCTACATCATTCATCTAACCGTGCCAACGGTACGTTCTTTTTCCCCTACAACATCCATCTAACCATGCCCACAGTAAGTTTTTTTTCCCCTACCACATCCAACGAACCATGGCACAACATCCATTCATCAAGTGAAATGGTCAGAACACATTTCAGTTTCAGCATAGAGATCAGCTCAGAGATGTGAATCATATCCTCAGCCAGACAGCTGTTCAGATGTTCCAAGCCCAAAATTTGGAGAAAAAAATAATTTATTGCAGTTTCTTAACCTGTGGTTGTTGGTTGAAAAGAGGAATTTTTGTTTGTTTGTTCTGCTTGAATAAAGAGGACATAGACACAATAATGGTCATTTAGTGCTGGGAAAAAGTCAGACAGACAGACAGACAGACAGAAACAAGAGAGGGAAAGTAAAGAAGTTGAGCCTACTAGTGGCACCTTCAAGAAATATTTTGTCAAGTTCAAATTCCAATTGTTGAATAATAATAATAGACTACTTTGTCCTCCGTCTTCAGATGTGGCTCAAACCGTGCAAGCGGTCAGACATCCCAGAGAGCTCAGCCTACAAGTGTCCGGTGTACAAGACCAGCGAGAGGCGTGGCACGCTGTCCACCACCGGTCACTCCACCAACTTTGTCATCGGTATGATGATTCCGTCCGACCGGCCACAGCAACACTGGGTGCGCCGTGGGGTGGCCCTGCTCTGCCAGCTCGATGACTAGAGGACAACTAGAGGACGACAACTGGACAGGACAATTTTGTCCTTTAACTAGGACAGGACAGTATGGTCCTCATGTCGTGCTTTGGTGCATTTCCAAGGTTTTGTTTTAGTGATTTGACAAATTTGTTTTTCTGTTCGAGAGAGTTTATTTAACCTTTTTTTGTACCAGCCATCTGTAAAAGTATTATTAGGATGAATGTATTGTTATCTTTCTTTTTGAAAACTATTGTCATCACATTTTCATGCCAGTAAATTTACTTTTTTTTTTTTTAAATTTGTGGAGGAAAAAGGTTGTTTTTTTCGTCCAAAGCCATGTGAAACATTCCATGTACTCATAAATGAAGCAATCACATACTAATCTTACAATACATTAATTTATTGATGTACATACACTATGTAATGTATTTCCTTTTTTTTCTCTCGTATTCTTGCATGCCGAATTGAATGGCTATGTCTCACATTTTGTCTATTTTGACAGTCTTTACAATGCTTGTTTTTAATTTGACTGTCACATTAGAATTTTAGCTTTAATAGCAAATCAAAGGAAACCTTGTAGTTTTAGGAAATGCTATTGCTTGAAATAACCTATTACTTTTTTCAGTTGCAAAGTTGATTTTACTTCAACTGTGGTGTTGCCCCATTTTTAAAAGACCTCTTTTGTGTCAGTTGATGTTCTTTTAAGAGCTTAGCTTCCTGCATCTGGATTATTTATTTTGAAAATCAGCCAATAAGTTTTAAATGACTTTTAAATGAGACAAATATTGTCAGTATTATATGAAGGTTACTTTTCAGAGATATGAGAATATGATAAAAATGTTAGAAAAGACGAGTGCATTAACCTTGATATGTACTATATCATATACTTTTGTTGTTTGATAATCTGACTTCCATGCTTTTGTCACTGCTGAATATTTCAGAGTTTTTTCCTATTCAGGATGTGTAAAATGTTTATATACAAATCTTGACTTGCTTGGTGTCTTGCTGTCTTGTAAGCACTCCACAAGTGTTTTAAGAAAGAGAGTTAAAATATCGTACAGATGATATACTAAATATACTATTGCTGTACTTTGATCATGTTTCACTTTATGTTGGACGTTCCTCTCGGAGCAAGACAGACATCACAAACTATGTGCCTCTTTGTTATTATTATATAATACATGTTCACAAAATTTCAGGTTTATTTTACAAAGCGAGTGATATGTTTGAAGTGGTCTGTGATATTTTATTTTGCTTTGTTTCATTGTTGCGACTACCCCTTCCGTCCAGTCTTGCTGTCATATTTTATAATGGCTACAAAACTTTTGTACCTCGACCGACAGGGAAGGAACCAATTATTCTTCATTTTTTTAATAACCTTCTATAGGGGCAGACTGTTTATGTTTTTGTAGTTTTTGTAGAGCTAATGTGCATAATTGGGAGGTAACAGAAATGAAATCATGCTGTTAAGCAGCTTTCCAATAATGGTTTCTTTACTATCGTTATGCCGAGTTCCCTAATTATGTTCGTCATATACTGTTTCATCCCATTTTGTGTGTAAGAAGGGAACTAAAATCAGTGCAGAATGTACTCTTGTTGCTGGTCCTGTCAAGATTCAAAGGCTGATGAAAAATCGCAGCCTTGAGTAACTTTCACATGCAAAACAAAAAAAATAGAGTGAGTTTTATATTGGTCATTTTCAAATAAAGTATTTCACTAAAGAACCTTTTTGAGCCTCTTAATGTCTTGTGTTTTGTCACTAAATGTGTATACCTCCTATTGGAAAAAAACTCACAGTGTTTACGCAGAAATGGACCTGACTATTCCTTAGCCAGACAAGGACTTGGACCAAAGAACAGAGCAGTAGTGTCTAGACGAGATCCTGCTTCTCTCAATGTTGTTTTTTTACACCCCCCTCAACATAATCATATAGGAGACGGGTTCCGACCCAGCCTGTCAAGACTAATCCATGCTGAAAAGGATACAACAAAGACTTAGTACTTAGGTACTCGATAAAAATTATCCCCACTCGGGAATCAAACTTGGGTCTCCTGTGTGCGACGGTGAAGAGCTTGACCGTTAAACCAGATGCCAGTTTGGTTCTCTATAATGAAATAAATCTGAACCATATGCTGAGCAAGATTATCAGCAGAGGCGAAAGTAATGGCAAGAACATACAGTGTTTATAATATGTTTATGTTCAATTTATGAAAAGAAAACCTTTTACGGATCTCAGTAAAAGACTTGAAACTAACTTTAACCAACTTACTAATCCCTTACCTTGGTTTAGTTGCCCCTGCTACAAGTATTGACGAAGACACAGTAACACAGTAAACTGAAAAGTCCATCAATGAAAAGAAGTCGCATCAGACCATACTGGCTGAGCAGTAGCTAACACACCCACCCGTTGATGAAGGAAATATACCCAGCCTGAGTTGACTCAATTCAAGTTCCATATATTGACACCATAATCAACACCTTCCAAAATTTACAGGAGAGGCCTGCTTGATGAATGGGTCAAGGGATCTGTAAACCTATTAAATTTATTTATGAGGCAGCGTGGTGAATTCAGGCGCTCGTCAAAATCATGAAATTGAAGAAGCTGGCATTTTTCCGCTGGCGAGGCAATTTTTATTGAATTTTCGTTTTTCGGCTTAACTCCTTTAACATCAATTTAAAAACACATTTCTGTGTGGATTTTACTGAAAAATGTTGATTAAAGGCACAAAATATGTTATTTTTCAGCTTTCAAAGGCTCTCAAGCTATTGAAGTTACCAAACTTTGGTGGCCATTTTCTCGCTAATTTTACCTCTGAAACTCATATGACCTTATGCAGTAGCAAGCGCCGTAAAACCGTCTACTAATTAAAAAAACAAAAAAAACAGGCGCCCCCACCTCCTTCCATCGTAAATATCTTGGCTTGTATTGAATATAGATGGATTTGTTTTTCTTTGAAAACAAGTCAAATGAACAAGCTTTAAGATGATACCAAAAGCTCCACTTGCCTAAAAATTAACGAGCCCCTGATTCCACTGCACCATGAAACATTTTCAAATTTTAAAAAAAAAATTTTTTTTTTTTGGGGGGGGGGTGTTTTAACAGTATTTTTTTTATTCTTATGTTCCCATCAACACAGTGTAGATCATTTAGGAGGCAGGCTTCCACCCTGCCAGCTATAGCTAACCAGGACTGACAGTGACAGGGATGCAACGGCCCAGCAGAAAGACTGAGGTAGGCCTACTTGATAAAAATTTTCCCCACTCAGGATTCAAACATGGGTCTCCTGCATGCCACGGCTAAGCACCTCACTACACCACAGGCGCTGGCTATATCGGCAAAGAAGAACGGTCATCAGAACAAACATGCCATAGTCAGAAAAAATTAACATTGCCAGGCAAAAACAACACAAGCACAAACAAATATAACAAGCAAATGAAAATAACATTTTATTAAAGAAAAGGTAGCAAAAGAATATAACAAATCAACAAATAACGTACAAATCGGCCACTGAAATTTACTCGCATAACAATCAACTTTTCGAAAAGTGCTCTTTTCAACACAGATCTCACACAAGACTTGTATTAACTAAACGATGTCTATCATTTTGGATATCCTTGCTTCTTGCTGGGGCCCAAAACAACAGATAACGAGTGTGAATTTTCAGCCTGACCCTGTATGACTTAAAAATAGTTTGTCAGCCATTTATCTTAACCAGAAAAGTAGAGTTACGTACAAATCAATTTTTGGGGGGGATGTTCATATTTAAAAAGATGGTAGTGTGATATGGAAATATTTAGATCTATACATATTATCTCACAAATTGGTACTCGTTTTCAGCATATTTCTTGCATTTCATATATGCCGGCATTTTTTATGATTTTCAACCACTCTGCAACATAATATAGTTACACATCACAAACTTCAGACAATCTAGTTCTCCTTATCTGCCTCTCACAGTACTAGTTTTCATACATTACCCACTCATGTTGACAGGGTAACTTCCTGTTTGACGTCAGATCACTGTGTGCTCTGTTAATGCAGTGGACTAAAAACTTGGAACTTCTAGAAGAATGAAAGTACTTGAGTGGTCATTAGTGAGAAGTTGGTTCATATCTTGCCGCAAGATTGATTCTATATTGATGAATTATATATCAATCGAGCAAGTTTGTCAACAACCACCTAAGTAAGATGAGATGTTTTACTCATGTTATGCAAAGACTTAAAGAGGATGGAGATGAATTGGATGCAGGCTCTGATTTTTACCTCGCTGCTAGAAATGTTTATAAGCAGACTTGCATACTTGATGCAAACTTATCAGCAAACTCCACACTTTAAGCTCAAATTTGAACATTGGGTACTAATTAGCAGGAAACTCTTTTTTTTAATACCCCTATTTTTTTACTTCCTTACAGCTTCAAAATGTTGGATCCACAAAGGAAAACCATTGAACAAATTAATTGAATAAATCTGTCAAGAACAGAAAGAATTCCTTATTATGAAAACTAGCATCACAGTAGACAAGAGGACCCAACGAGTCCCATATCGTCTTCCTCCAAAAAATTTGCATAGGAATACTGTCATCAATACATCATTTCTCAAGTACATTACCCAAGTCCTGCAACACATTACTTTGTTATGTAAAGACACGCAGACACTTCCACACACACAAACAATCCCAGTTGTTGTTAATGTTTTCAGTCCAGACACACACAAACTCACACATACACACACATTCTATGGTAAAACTCGGATGTAAACAAAAGATGTCTGCTCCTGATAACGTCTTGGTAATAACGCTATCTTGGTTTTTTCCAGAAAAAAAAAATCATAATCATGTTCGTGGTCGTCACTTGCAGTCAGCATTTAGTAAAGCCAGCTGGCCAATATACACGATCTCCTCTATTCTTTTTGAAAAATCTCTAGTTACCTATGTACTTTTTAAAATTTGTTGGTTCAGTAAAAAATTGTAACAAAAGATATGCATGGGAGAAAAATGGTGACATCAATTTCCTGTTGGTTTTTCAATATTCTGCAGAAATCAAACATGAAACACCACAATATTCAACAAACCCTGTGATATTTTTTGGAATAAAAAGCATCCCAAAAAAAAAAAAATTCAAAATATTGTGATTTACATTTTCAGGTTAAAAAAACCTGCCATTCAAATAAAAGAGTCAAGTGGTTTTGTTCAATAACATATTTCAAATAACTTGGAACCTCAAAAATTTTAAGGGGAGATACTCCTGAGACAACAGGACATATTTATGAACAGCCGGTGGACACCTTTGAACGATTTCCTAGTGCCAAACGGGGTTAACTAAGCTAATAAAATTGACTTTTCAAATCCTCAGTCCCAACAGGTTGCCACGGGGGGGGGGGGGGGGGGGGGGGGTGACAGACAGGGTCTCAGTCCTGCAAAATGATGTGACAATGTCAATCAGACTACTTACTTACCTTTCGTACAACATCTTCAAACATTGCTTGGAGTATCATTTACATTATCTCCTTAAAAAATACCACTGAGGGGACTTTCAGTGGTTTTTAATTCATAAAGCTTAGACAGACACACAAGTGGATAAATTTATAGCCGAGAAAAATCTTTTTCTTTGTGTTATATGGTAAAAATTTCTCACAAGCACTACTTTTGGTCAAAAGACAAATCCTTCCGAAATTAAACTTTTGGAAAATCCCCATTATTGTAAACCCAACACCTAAAAATTAAACATTTTCAAAAAATAAAAAATAACGGAGAGTACGACTTGAGGAAGTTTTCTTGGTGGAAATGTTGATACTGAAAATGTCATCAAGAGATAGTTTCATGTCAGTCATTCAGAAAATTGAAGACCCTTAACCTGTTCAAACTTATTCTTATCCCCTTTCTATTCATTCTGCCGGTTCAGGACCTAGTTCAATGTGTTCACAACGTACATAATTTTCCATCTAGAGAGGAAAAAAATGGAAAAAAACAATATTACACCACTAGCTCAACCTCTCAAGCATAAGGCAACCGCCATAACACCACAAAAGGCTTCTGGAAGCAGAGATTAAATTTTTTTAATGTATGTGTTTTTACATCCCCATCAACACAATTTAGATAATTTGAAGTAGAGAGGAGCAAACATCATGTTGAAAGGAAATAGCCCTGACAGACCAGAATACAAAAGTACCCTGCAAACATTAAGACACAAATCAATAAAACATTCATGTGACTATTTCAAATGACAGGATGCATTCCAAAAAATACCAAATAGATGAGAACAGAACACAACAAGGAAAAGCAAAGAAGCACACAAAAGTTAGTTACAAAAATGAAATGTTCTTATCCATGTTACAATAGGAACCATCTCCAGTCTGATTGTTTACTGCTTATTTATTCAAGACACATCAAATAATCCCCCCCCTCCCCCCCCCCCCCTCTCCTCCTCCCCCGCCTTTTCTCAATTTTTTTGTAGTGCAGCTGTTTTTGGGGGGAGGGGGATTTTGGTCAGTATTTTTACGGCGCTCGCAACTGCATAAGGTCATAGCACGCGGGACACATTAAACTTTTTTCAGTGGGTAGGAAATTTTGAATTTTGCCCAGGTGGCGGCCGAAGCCTACTCTTATCGATTTTAGACCACAAAGGGATCTTCAAACGAGCGCAATTTGCACACAAGCCCTCTGAGATTTTTTGCCCTTGTCCGAGAAGGCTAGGTGTAGATCTTTCCTACCAGAAGATCAGGGGGGTGGCTGGAAGACAGCAGTAAGAAGGAGCCAAGATGTAGCAGTAAAAAGGCTGCAGAAAAAGTCAGGAGCCCAGAGGAGGGGGCAAAGGAGGTTACATGGTGGCTACAGAAAGAGGAGACGAAAGCAGACGACAGAACATTGCTAGAGAGAAGGAAAGGAGGTAAAAGGAGACAATTTTAGAGCAGAACATTTTTCAGTTGCTACCTGGATTCTAACCCGGGGCCTTTGAATGAGAGGCCACCACTTTAACCTCTAGGCCATGAGAGCCCCCGTGCAGCTGTTTTGATAGGCCAATAAATACATGCTTCAAACATGAAGTGGTCTTGTTCACCGGTGCACGGAAAGCTAGGTGCTTGGGTAAATTTGTTAGCCACCGGTGTTATAATGGCCATAACTCGAGGAAACAATGTCAATAATTTACATCTGCACGTGGTTAGGGAGCACAGAGTTAAAATACAAAGCCACATAAAAATTATCTTTCGAGCTGAATTCTCTCTCAGTGTCTATGTAACAGCCATTATCTGATCTCCATGTGTAGAATTAATAAACATCAGGTATCACAGTTCGTGTGCTTGTACATTTCTAGGACTTTTCTTATCAAATAGTTTATACATTGTGGATATCCTGGAAGCATGTGTCATCACGTGGTGGAATCATGCGCCCGTTTATTTTAGGGCAAGTGGAGTGGTGGTATTATGTTAAAGCTTGTTCATTTGTCTTACTTTTAATTTAAAAATTACCCATCTATCTTGAATGGACGTTGAGAAATTCACAATTACAGAAGGTAGAGGTCGCCCAGTTTCAGAGGTAAAATTAGTAAGAAAATGGCCGCAAAAGTGTGGTGACTTTCAAAGATCGAGAGTCCTCGGAAACTATAAATTTACATTTTCCGTGCCTTTGATCAACATATTTCAGTAAAATCCACACAGAAATGTGTTTTTAAATGGGCATAAAAGGGGTTGGGCCAAAAAAAGAAAAGAAAAGAAAAAAATTGCCCAACAGCCAGAAATATGCTGATATCTTTGATTTCATTTTTTGAACAAGCACCTGATTTCACTACGATGCCTCACAGATATGCGATATCGCTATAAACAAGTTCTACAATATGGAATCTAGAAAAGAAAAGATAACTCTTATAATCCAGTATATTAACATTCTGTACAAAAAAGCAAACCACTTGGTTAGTCCTCCAACAAAAATATACATGGTAAGTAACACTTTCATGCAAATTCAGCAAATTGGAGTGTATCTTGAACTAAGCCTTTAACATCAGGGAAATAAAGCAGGGCATTAACAATTATGCAAAAAAGCTGAAACATCTCAGATTACTGAAATTCTAAAAATGACAAAAAGTGTCTCATCAAAGTAGAGAAAACCACAAAAAGATGGTGGGAAAGCCGAAATACATTAAGCTTCCATTTGACATCTCTGGCAAAGACTCTACTTAGTCCGAAATGTTAATTGTAAACTCCTCGTGTTATGACTCTTCTGCAACAAATTGGTGATTTTCTCAAACTACTAGGCCCTCCTGTTCCTGCAAGCTGTCACAGTTTATTATTCATCTTAACCCTTCCAGCTCCATGCGCGGAAATTTTCAGCAGCACTTGTACCTCCCACCGTCCCAAAGAGCATATATTCTCAGTTTCGGGGACTACCGAATTTGCGCATTTTTTCTAAATAAGCGAACCTAATTAAACTTTAATTTTCATAATATCTGTTCATTTATCTTTAAATAATGTCATATGTTATTATCTAAACCTCATTACAAAGATACTACATGACTTTTTAGAATGCATTTCTCTTTTTCTGAAATACTGCTGCACTGGCTGCGATTGGGGTTAGGGGGTGCACAAAAATGGCTGGGGCTGAAAGAGTTAAAATTGATTTGATTTGCTTTTCAACATAATATTAATATACCGACATATGCCTCCTAGTCACACCTAAATTTAAGCTACACAAATCTAAGCTTCAGTCTTCAAAAATTCCAAGATAGACGACCCTTGTTTCCGTAGGAAGGCCACGTTAGAGGAGATGTGTTCCAGCCCCTGTTGTATGGCACGTTCTGCTGCTTTGGCCTTGTGGGACTTGAAGAATTTCTGTTGAGGCAAAAGTTATGGGCAATCTCATGAAACAGTTGCAGTTTGAATGGTAAGAGCTTTAGTTTCGTCTGTCTTGTATGATTGGCATAAATGATGACGGAGCCAACAACAGACCTTAGATTTTCATTACATTTTAATTTTAGTCGAGTTGACACAATGATGTGCAGTTTTATCCAAAACACCAAGTTACACGAGAGCCAGGAAGCAGGAACAGTTTGTTTGAGTAAAGAGAAGCGAATCGACACAATAATGGTCATTTAGTGATCAGAAAAAGTAAGACAGATGGTCAGAAGAAATAGAGCAAAAGAAAGAAATAGAACCCACCGGTGATGCCTTCTAAACACACACAGGAAGCAGGGAAACAGAATGACAACATAAGGGATGAAGTGGATGCAGTAATCCGCACCAAAAAAACTCATCCAATTAGGGCATTCATTAACCATTGGGGGGTCGGGGGTGGGGGTCGTCAGTCAACATTAGTTTTCTGACAGTGAGTAGCAGTTCACAACAAAAATCACTAAGGAACTGCTTAGGAAAACTAATTTTTTTTTTTTTATATATTAAAAAAACCAGCCAGGAGACCATACCAGAGTTCCCACCAATGACCCACATCTGCTTCTTAACATAGTCAGCATCATTCCACAATCACCAATATCTATTTCTGGGAGTTTCCAAAGTCGTTTTTCCCATAAAAGCTGATTCAGAGATTTAAAATTTGAAGGAATATATCCAAACCAGCAGCTCGCATGGGCAAAATTACAGCTAAATTAATCAGCAGTTGACATTCAGAGGATTGTATATATTACATTTTTTTACTGGTGAAACTTTCAACACTTTCTAAACAATTGGAAGTTACCAGAGACTCTATCAGGGGTCAATGTGTCCGTGAGGAGTCACAACATAAAAGAAAGTTGACTAACCTTTGACATTCCCTATATTTACCACTATCAGACCTTTCCAACAGCTGGCGTCTATCATAAAACCTTACCTCAATATCTGCTGCCTGGTCAGCACAGCCCACTCCTTCAGTGAGAACCTGAGGAAAAGACGAACACATCAGGAAAGAGTTCATGACCTCAAACACTCTCTTAGCTAACATAGCATAACGCTAGCAAAGCACCTTCTGAAGCACAAAACAAAAATGCTGAACATCTCAACATCAACAATGTTTCAAAATCTATAGGTGATTCCTTTAGAGCTATGGAGAAAAGAACTTTCCTATTTAAAAAGCACAGTAGTACATCATTTTGAATGTAATTTCCAGCACATTCAACAGGACAAAGAATGAGAGGAAAAATCCCACATGGGAAGGGAAAAGTTTGTGCATCACCTGAAATTGAATCCTTAACCCTCTGGAGATTAGTCAAGTTTGTAACAGCTTTAGAACAACAGTTTCCCACCCCTAACCCCCCACCTTGCCAAAAAAGGCTTTGTGTTCACAATTTATAAGTCTTCCAAGGCAACAGAATAACAATGAAGCATAGCCTGCTATGGCTGTAAAAGATCTTGTTAGTTTGCTAGCGCTTTAGCGCGTGTAAAATGGCAGCTTGCAATGTATGCTTTCTGGAAGCCTAGAATGTTTTCAAGTGCTTTAGGGTCTGCTGCGGTAATAATAGATGTAAAGCTCACAGGCAGAGCATGCTGTAGAGTATGGAAATGAGCTATAAAAATGCATTTCTTCTTCTTCGTCTTAATATTATTATCATTATTATTATTATTATAATTATCATTGTTGTTATTATTATTATTATAATTATTATTATTATTATCATTGTTATTATCTATTACTATTATCATTATTATTATTATCATCATTATTATTCATTATTATCATTAGCATCATCATCATCATCATTATTATTATTACAATTTTTATAATCATCATTATTATTATCATTATTATCATTATAATTATTACCTTGATCAGCCCGCTGAGCATGGTGCTGGTGCCGTAGCGACGATAAAGCTCAGACCAGTTTTCCTTAACGAAGCTCCACAAGAGTTCTTTGCCCTGCAGAGACGCCCTCACGCCGCCCAGCACTGCCACACTGTCCTGGTTACGGACCTTGTCCTGGCCGGATGAAGGAAGGGGCAATTTTGTTCAGTACTCATTTTACTTAAGTTTACTCTACTTAGGTTTACCCAGCTTTTAGTTAGTTTTAGTAAGACTTTCACGGCACTTGCAAAACAGTAAGGTCTTATAAGTGCCGAAGAATAGATGTGTTACAAGAGAGTAACATTCACAAAAAAAGAAGGAAAGATAAGGAAGATAGATGTTTGATAGGAAGAAAGGAGCAAACCCCTCCAGAGCACCTGCCAAACACCCACCCCAGCTTTTAAGATATGCCATGTAAACAGGCTTTTCACAAGTATTGTAGAACAAGAATGCTATCGGATCCTCTTTTTGTTTTAGTACCGTAAGGGTTTTACTGCACTTGCAACACAATAAGGTCATACAAGTGCCGAAGATGAGATGTGTTACAAGAGAGTAACATTCACATAAAAGAAGGAGAGATAAGGATGATAAATGTTTGATAAGAAAGAAGGAGCAAACCACACTAAAGCACCCGCCAAACACCCATCCCAGCTTTTGAGATACGCCATGTAAACAGGCTTTTCAAATGTATTGTAGTACAACAAAAATACTATCTGATCCTCTTTTTATTTTGCTTTAGTAAGAATTTTACTGCACTTGTAATACAATAAGGTCATACAAGTGCCGAAGATTAGAGGTGTTACAAGAGAGCAACAAACCCATATAAGAAGGAGAGCTCAGGATGAAATTTGTTTGATAGGAAAGAAGGAACAAACCACAACAGAGCACCCACCGACCTCCCACCAATCTTCTTTGAAGTTTAGATTATGTCACGCTATCTCGTGTATGGATGAACATGCAACTTTTAAAAACATTATCACATTTCTGTATTTTACGAAACAAGCAAACAAACAAATTATTCACCATTTTAAGTACAGCTGCAAGAAAATACATCCAAATTTTTACATGTAAAGATTTGGGAACTCCAGAAAAGTTTAAAAGACTGGAATGGACTGAAAAGAATAAACAACTCAACAGCCAGAGACAAAAACAACAACTTTTTAGATTAAAGTCATGAAGTTGGGGCAAATTGAGCTCTTTTCATTGTCATTTGTACTAAAACCCAAAGTCTTGAAGCACTCTAATGACATTATGCAAGTTGTAAGTGCCATAAAACTCTTACCCAATAACTAGACTTATCAAAATTTTTTCCACATATTGTCCCGGAAGTAAAGAATTCTTACTTGAACTACAGCGGGCAACAACCGACTTACCGATAGAGCAAACTTAAGCACAGACTGGATGAGCTCAGCGTCCGATACACAACCTAGCAAACGACCAATCCGATTCTTTTCTTCCAAAGAGTCTTCCCGATCATACAGCTGAGGAAGGCGGCAAAGAAGGAGCCATTAACATAGCGTCTTTACGAGAGCATATATCAATTATCTGAACTAGCATCACTTAAAAATAGTCTTCAATCTTTTCACTTCACTTTGGGGACTAAAGCATAGTAATCCGATATAAAATCTCTCTCTCTCTCTCTCTCTCTCTCTCTCTCTCTCTCTCTCTCTCTCTCTCTCTCTCTCTCTCTCTTCCTATCTCTCTCTCCTCCTATCTCCCTCCATCTCAATGGCTAATAAATTATGACACTCCATCCTTCTAAACACATCAAAATAACAGACAAACAAACCTGAAGCATTTTTTCAAAGACAGCTTTACCCCCATGCGTCAGAACTGTGGTATAAACCTGACAAGCAGAAAAGTCGGTGTTACACACAGGCAAAGGAGTTACGACTACACTCTCAGAAGGCATACAAAAACGTGCAGTGCGGTGTGAAAAGTTTAGCCTCTAATAGGTGGCAAAAGTGGGTGTTGGTTACAAAAATGTTGCTGTTGACAAGCACTGGTCTTGCCAGACCTCTCCATAAGCCATGGGAGAAAAAATGTTTCATTAGCCTTTCATGCATGAAGAAATCTCCTTTGTCTTCAGTAAAGTAAAGAGCAAAATTTCTTAAAACCTTATACTCACACGCTCGTATGACCATACTGATTGTACACTCAAATTTTAAAAAGCAAAGGGACCACGAAGAACGACCATAATTTGCCTCTGCTAATCTCATGCAATTTTTGCAAAGAGACAATCAATAACTTACAAAAATAATAATACAGTAGCTTATAAACATAAGGGCAGAAAAAATTTGAAGGACTTTATGTTAATTAATTTACCTATGAATCATGAAAAAGAGATCATTACCCCACATTCCCTCCTCCTCCTTCTCTTCCTGCTCTTCCTTCTCCTTTGCATCCTCCTCTTTCTCCTCCTCCTCCTTCTCCTCCTCCTGTTCCTCATCCTCCTTCACCACCACCTCCACCACCACCTCCACCACCTCAAGAGAAATAGAGACAAAAGACACAAGCTAAGGGTCAAACTTGCATTAAAAAAACAACAAACTCACCGGAGCCTTGATGTCACCAGATAAGACTTGCTGACCAGCAAAATGTGCCTCAAATCTTCGGAATGCTTCCTCCTTGACCTTCTCCTCACCACTTCTGCCCAATCTCGTGAGGACTTGTTCCCTCAGCATTTTGTCCCCATGGTCTAGAGAAATGAAATTCAGGACACACATGTTCTTAGAAAATGTCTTTTCTCTGATGTTTCATAGAGCCAAAAGAGATTTTCATGAAACAGCATAAATAATAAATGATGCACGTATCAGTAAGACTGAGGAAAATATTTTGTGTTGTGAACCAGCTTCCATAATAAAACAGTTTAGTAAAAAAAATATTGAAAATTTCTCAAAATATTGAAGGAAATGTTGGCCCAACCCAAGACAGGGGGACCCAAGGCTCTACAAGGGTCTGGAGGACCTGTGGCAAACAGCAGCCTTCGCACTAGAGGCTGGGACATCCACTTATAGATGAACGAGAAGTAGAAGAAGACTCAAAATGGGAGGCACTGTGCTGAAATCAGGGGCTCGTCAAAATAATTAAATCGAAGATATCTGCATTTTTCTGCCAGTCTATCAATTTTGATCAATTTGTGTTTTTTAGCTCAAAGCCTTTTATGCCCATTTAAAAACACATTTTTGTGTGGATTTTACTTGAAAGCTTTAATTAAAAGAGCAAAAAATGAAAATTTGCAAGTTTCCAAGGACTCTCAAGTTATAAAAGTCAGGAAACTTTGGCGGCCATTTCCTCACTAGTTTTTACTTTGAAACGATGCAACCCCATCTCCTTCAATCATAATTATCTAAACTACTATTTAAGATAGTAGAGTAATTTTTTCATGGAAAGATAGGCAAAAGAACAAGCTTTAAGATACCAGCAAAAACTCCACATGGCCAAAAATTGACGAGCGTCTGGTTCCACCGCATCGTGACACAAATACTGTCCTAACCTTCCCCTGACTGTGCCTCCCAGCCCAGCCTCTCCCCAGTGTCCCTCAGGCTGTCGCAGACAAATGTCTTGTAGCGGGAGAAACTTCCCTCGGTCAGCTGCTGGATCTGTGAGCCCAGGTCGGCCAGGGCAGAGGTCAGTTTGCTGCACACGGCAAAGTTCTTCTCAGAACGGTAGCTCTTAGTCAATCTCAAGACATCCACGGCATTAATGTAGTTCGCCCTGCACTGTGAAATCACAGATCAAATCCAACACTCTGGAGTCCAAATTTGAGGAAATGCAACTGCTATGAATGGACAATGCGTAAGACATCCATGCAACAAAATTTTAATATCTCAAAGAATGATTTAAAAGAAAAATATTTACTGCTCTGTAAATTTGCATCATCAGTTTCAGAACTACAGAAAAGTACTGAGCATTTTTTTTATCATCAAGTCCAGTTTCATCATCAACATTCTCCACAAATAAAACATTTGACTTCTAGTCTGTCCCTAACGTCTGACAAATATCCACCCAATATTTAACACACAGCAGGTCAAAAATAGTTAGGACCCAACGGTTTGCAAATCAAAACTGCTGATTTTGGTACAAGAACATAATAGCCAAAAATAAGATATTTTTTATTCTTGGTTTAGTAAGCTTTTTATGGCACTTGCAACACAATAAGATGATATAAGTACCGAAGATTAAAGGTGTTACAAGAGAGTAACAAACATGCAAAAGAAGGAGGAGAGAAAAGGACGATAGTTGTTTGATGAAAAAGAAGGAGCACCAGCCAACCACCACAGATATTTTTTAGCTTGACACAGACACTCATGAAACTAAAAACTTGGCTATCTCCTCATTCCTTCAGTCTTTGGGAGGGGGGGGGGGGTTTATTATTCCTAGTGCATACACTCACTCTCATTCCCATTCCTGAAAAACCCATTCACTCATTTAACATGCTCTGCTACAGCTAAATTTGAACGTTAGCTGTTTCTATGATTTAGTTCTGCCATTAGCAAAAACAGGCCAAATTTTCCAAAAGGGCAGTCCATTATCAAGGAGAAAAACGGTTGTCTTAGACAGGTGGACGTCTTGGACAGTGTCATTAAACACAGAAAAAATGTAACTGGGGAGGTGGGAAACTACAGTTTGTATTGGTGATTGTCTTGAACAAGTGGCTGTTAGAGCAGGTTAGACTGTATAACTATTTCCCTACCCACTGGAGAAGCCACAAGTGAAGCCACAAGAGTTGACTTCCCAAAGCCACTTGACCCCACATACGAGCAGAACACAAGGAGCAAACTACACCAGGACACCCGTCAACCACCCACAGAATAGTCTGGTTTTAGAAGCTTTGAGTCAACAGAAATACTTTAACTCGATAACCGTTACCGAAGGCAAGGAGACAGAAAGAAAGACAGACAGACAGGCAGGCAGGCAGGCAGGCAGGCAGGCAGACAGACAGATGGACAGACAGACAGACAGTAAAGAAGTTGGACCTACCACTGGCGCGCTCAATCTACCAATGGAAGTATAGAGAGGTGACCGCTATAGAGAGAATAATAATAACGTGACCTGCAATGACTACGTACCAATGCCAGGAGGTCGGTTAACAGTCCCAGTCGATCCACCGGGCCAAGTACATTACTGATCAAGGCTGGCAAAAATCTCTGAAGGGCTTCAGGGGAGTACTGAACATGGTAGAACATAAACTGGCCTGGGTTCACCTGAAGAAAAGAAATTAGAACAAAAATGTTGTTAAATAAGGTCAAACCCGTTCAAGACAACCACTCATTCATCTACTTGCCTGGATTCACCTGAAGAAAAGAAATCAGAACAAAAATGTCATTAAATACAGTTGAACCTGTTCAAGACAACCACCCATTGTAGAGAAGAAAAGTCGTCATTTTAAACTGATGGTGCTCTTGAACGATATCATTTTCCTACAGAAAAAAACACAAAGAAGGCATGAGGGAAGAGGTCATTTGTATGGGTGCTTGTCTTGGACATGTGGTCGTTAAGAGTAGGCACTAGTTTTTAGTAAGCATTTTACAGCACTTGCAACACAATTAGGTAAAAAAAAAGAGTAAAAAGTGTCGAAGATTAGAGGCGTTACAAGAGAGTAACAAAGACAGAAAACAAGGAAGAGAGAAACGGGCGATAGATGTTTGATAGGAAAGAAGGAGCAAACCACACCAAAGCACCCGCAAACCACCCTCATCAAGCCCAAACACTCGTTTTACTGAAAACCTCAGCAACTATAACATGAGATGAAAAGCAAAACACCAGCACACCGACATGATAACAGCCATCCATCTATCCATAATGGGAGGAAAAAGCAACATAAACAAACTGAAACAATAGAGGAAAAAAAACCAAGTTAGACCTTTTTCGTTTTAGTAAGCATTTCACGGCACTTGCAACACCGTTAGGTCATATAAATGCCAAAGATTAGAGATGTTACAAGACAGTAACAAACACAAAAAGAATAAGGCGAGATGAGAATGACATAATGTTATTATGTCTGATTGGAAAAAAGGAGCAAACCACATTAGAGCACCTGCCAACCATCCACTAAGTAAGATCTACCAGCCCCTCCCTTCAACCATCCACTTCAATCGTGTAAACAGAGATTTTTTTATTTTTATTTCGACCGCATTCATTTCATCTGGGGCACTAAATGTGTGAACTCACCCGTATCCAGTCCCCAGGAGCACAGTCCGGTACTGTCAGAGTGACCGAGCCATCAGCCAGAACGCCTTTCACCACGGGCTTCTCCGGGCTGCGGGCAGTTGTGATGGAGTAGGGCACCCTCCACCGGGCACTGGACTTGGCCTCATCTGTATGGTGGGATTGACGAATTTTTGCTACAAACCTTGTGCATGATACAAACTTTCTGGGCTACAGGCAAACAGAATGTGTGGCGTCAAAGTGAAATCAGGCACTTGTCAAAATAATAAAACCGAAGAAACTGGCATTTATTCACCTGTTGGGTAATTTGAAGAAAAAAAATTTGGGGGGTTTAACATCTTTTGTAGCCGTTTAAAAACAAATTTATGTGGATTTTACTGAAATATGTCAATAAAATTCACAAATATATTTCAATTTGCAGCTGAAATATGCCGATTAATTTCACAAATATATATAAATTTGCAGTTCCATGGTCACTCAAGTTGTGGAAGTCATCAACTTTGGCGGCCATTTTTTATATTTTTTTCCCTCTTACACCAGGCCATCCCCGCCTTCAAGAGTAGATATCTCGACTTCTGTTCCAAGTAGACGAGTATTTTTTTCATCAAAACCAAGACAGCAGAACATGCTTTAAAATAATCCAAATAACTCTATATGCCGAAAAACTGACAAGAGCCGGATTCCACCATGTCGTGACCCCAGTCTTTGACTCTTTGACTAGCACACAAAAACTACAGTTGAAACTCCTCCTTCTCCCTCTCCTTCCTCCTCCCCTACCTCTCCTCTCTCCTCCTCTCCTTCTTCCTCCTCCACTTTGCTTTCAGAGAAAGCCAACAGAAGAGCTCTTCACTCCACAAGGCAGCAGCCTACTTCAAAATATATGGCCTATTTCCTTACATGTACCAAAGGCAGAAACTGCAGCCCAAATTGTCCAAAACAGCCGCTCATTGTTAAGGAGAAAAGTTGTCGTCTTAGACAAGGGGGCATCCTGGACAGTGTCATTATCGTGTCGAAAAAAACTTGGGGGGGGGGGGGGGGGTTAGTACAGATGATTGTCTTGGACAGGTGGCCATCACACCAGGTTCAAATGTCATCTCATATCTCCCCAGATTTCTGGCAACACTCACCTCCGCTCGGCACTTGGGAAGTAAACTTTTCCTGCGAGAGGACAACCTGGCGCTGCTCAGAGTTTGTGTCAATGACCTCCTCCACCTGGAGATGATGATGCAACACTTTGTACATTGTTCTGAGAGGGTTAGTTTTGCTTTTCTTTTATAGAAATATAAAGCCAAACAAGGTGCAATCAGGTCATTATGAAATATGAAAGAGGGAGTTGGGTGGGGGCTACTCTTACCAGCTAGGACCACAAACACTGTGAACCTTGACTGAGAAGAGTATTAAATTTCAAAGGAAGAGAGGCTTATGTTGAGCTGTAGTTGATGATGAGTCTGCACAATAATGACTACATTCTGCATGTACTCAATAATAATAAAACCAACACTGAGGTGTAGTCTCAGTAAAAGTTTTACTACACTTATAACACATTATTATAAGTCATACATGAGCTGATCATTAAAAGTGTTACGAGAGAGCAACATACAAGGAAAAGAAGGAGCAGACATAAGGACGACAGATGTTTGTTGATACGAAAGAAGAAGCAAACCACATCAGAGCACCCCGTAACCACCCACTTCATCACAGAAAAGAAGGGGAAAAAGCAGACAACATCAGAGCACCCACAAACAACCCACAGGAAGAACGACACACTCTGAACAAAGAGCTCATCCTGAACTATTGTCCATACAGTCAAACCTGCCCATAACGGTCACTCAAGGTCACAGAGAAAAGAGACCGTTAGCCTATAGACAGGTGGACGCTAAGGACACGGTCTGTGTTATGGTCACATACTGGACTTGACAGAGTCAACATACAGTTTAAAATCAGAAATCTTAATCTTATATTTTCATTTCATTTCCATCAATATTGGTATTTCTATATATTATATTTGTGAAACTTCATACTTTTGCAGCCTAAAACTTCCGAACCACTTAGCTTTCGAATTTGACTAAATTAATGGTGGTTCAGAATCATTTAAAGGTTGCACAGTTTCATTGAGGAGCCTGAAGTCACTGTAGTTTAATTTCCAGTTTTTCATTAGCATCGTTTAGATATAATCTTGGGAACATCCGTCTTCTAAGACGCCATTGTAAACAAGCAAAGCTTCCATTCATTAGCTGTGCGCAGATTCCACACCTTTGAAACTATGGAGTGTGCAACCACGAAAGTGGAATAGAGAATCAATCTATACATCTTTTATATGATATTTAGCAACTTGAAAACACACGTGTCACTTTCCTCTCAAGATTTATAGCTCCATTCCAGCAGAGTGTAAAAAGAGTAGGCCAATATAACTTTCAGTAGAAGTTAATGCATCGATAATTCCTTTCATCCAAAGGAGGCCCAGCTAGTCTATCATAAGAGCTTCTTTGCATTGATTGAACGCAGACATTCAATTTGAGGACAAGAAAGCAGAATACTTTTGTGGCAAGTGACCATTATAAAGTTTGCAGGCCAACTCATCGCGTACATGACTGACTAAGGCTGCTAATTCAGGTGACCAATATAAAGAAACGACTATTATAGGGAGGTGACCCTTACAGAGAGGTGACCATAATAGAGAGGTGACCACTATAGAGAGGTGACTGTTATAGACAGGTGACCACTATAGACAGGTGACTGTTATAGACAGGTCACCACTATGGACAGGTTACCCTAACAGAGAGGTGACTGTTATAGACAGGTGACCACTATAGAGAGGTGACCATTATAGAGAGGAGACCGTTATACAGCAGTCACCGTCATAGAAAGATGACCGCTGTGGACAAGTGACTGCTAAGACAGGTCCCACGGTACCTTGATCAACGGGAAGCCCATCTGTTTGGTCCATGAGTCCATGAGCTGACCGACGTCTTCCCCACTGGACTCGGACATGGCTGCCCACATGTTGGAGGTGTTGGTGTTAGAAAACTTGTGCCTGTTCAGGTATAGCTTCATGCCTTTACGGAAAGCCTGAGGAAAATCAATATGTGTTACGACACAATGGAATCCGGTGTTCGTCAATTGTTGGGCATATGGACTCATTGGTATCATCCTATGTTCCTTGTTCATTTGTTTTCCTGATTTTTATGAAAAAAATACCCATCTATCAAGTTTTGCACATTTATGACCTTAGGAATTTTGATCATTCTGAGGATTTTTCTCAACACGGTGGAATCAGGCTCTTGTCAATTTTTGGGCATATGGACTTATTGGTACCATCTTGATTAAAGCTTGTCCATTTGTTTTGATTTTGATTTTAAAAATACCCATCTATCATATTTTGCACATTTCTGTTCTTTGACATTTTGATCGGTCTGAGGACTTTTCCAAGTACTTAATGTATCAGGTACTATTGACCCTCAGTCTGGGGCAGTAGATAATACCGATGGCTGAGTGCAAGAAGTGACAACATACATCCACTTTTGGTCAAAATGGAGTAATTGATATGGGTAGTGAGATTTTAAGCCGCTCCTTTACCTCTGTAAATATCTAAGCCATAGCTTAATTTGGTGTAGAGATATTAACATTTCTTTTTGGACTGTGTTATAAAGATTTCAATATAGAAAAAAATTTCAAATTCATATTTCTCAAAACTGTGAAAAGTGGATAGTCACTTCTCGCACTCAGCCATCGATACGTCCAGCTTATTTCTCATACACCTATTAATGTTGTCTCCCATTTCACTTTCTGCCCCGACGTATCCGGATAGCGACATAAATTTTTCTTCTCTAAATTGTCTCCTTTCACCTCCTTTCCTGCTCTCAAGCAATGTTCTGTTGTCTGCTTTCATCTCCACTTTCTGCCCTCACCCCCTCACCTTCTTTGCCCATTCTCTGGGCTCCTGACTCTTTCTGCGGCCTTTCTACTGCTACTCCTTGGCTCCTTCTTACGGCTGTCTTTCAGCCACACCCCTGATCTTCTGGTAGAAAAGATCTACACCTAGCCCTCTCGGACAAGGGCGAAAAATTTCGAAGGTCGCGTGCGCATGTTGCACTTGTTAAAGATCTCTTGGGGGTCCAAAATCGATAAGAGTAGACTTCGGCGACCACCCGAGCAAAATTACAAATTTTCTACCAATGGAAAATGTTTAGATCGTCCCATGCGTTCATAAGACCTTATGCAGTTGCAAGTACCATAAAACACTTACCAAAAAAAAATTTATTTTAAAACTTTCTCCTCCAAGAAAAGACCATTACTGTTCTTGTAGCTTTCTATTTGATCAGAAAAACCAAAAACATCTGTTACAGCAGTCTGTGTTCCTTACTCAATACCATCTGGAACGCACTGCCTGACAATTTAGAAGAGATCAAATCTTCTAATGCATTTTAAAAAATGAGCTTATTTCATTTCTCTTTTTAGATTAAAGAGATATACATACATTTTTAGTTAAAACACAATGCACTGTTTATGTGCTGCTACTTGTATTGAAAAAGCACTCAGAGCCTGTGTTCTTTAACTCTTTCACTACCAGGGGGTTTTCCTCACCAGGACCAGGCTCTATCAGTGACCTACTCTCTGACTCTGCCTACCCTCTGACAAATTAAAGATTTTTAGTTCAATTTTTAATATTAGCCACACGTATTATACATGAAAATAAAGAGGAAATAATGACTTAACTTAATATGTTGCAAAAAAGATCTTTCTTTAGCTTGTGATTCCAATTTTGATTATTACAAAAGCAGGACTGGTTTTGAAGCAGGAAGTGGAGAGCCATGAAACAGGGCTCGCATCGCGGTCCAACATTTGGAGAAACACGGGTCACGGTAGTCTTCTTCTTCTTTTTCTCGATCGCATCACACTTGAAGTCTGGTATCTGTCATAAATAGTCCTGCTCAGTTCATCTGTCGGCCCGTATAGCTCCTCTGGTAGCATCAGTGGAGTTTGGCCATGTTTCCTGTCTCAGGGCCCTATGTGTCTTGCAGTGCTGAAGGATGTGTTCAACAGTTTGGTCTGCCTCTCCACACTGGCATTTTGGTGATTGTACTAGTTTAAAACATCTGTACATATGTGGTCTCGGTCATGTGTATTGTGTTCTTAGTCTGAAGATAATCACTTGTTCTTGGCGGGACAGCTCATGGTAGCCATCTGGTGTCTGTGGTGCTTTAAATAGTGTATTTATATTAGTTTTTATTTCTGTGGAGTTAATGCTGTTGTCTGGTTGCTCTTTCTGTGCTCCTTGTTTGGCCATCCTGTCTGCCTGCTCATTTCCTAAGACACCACAGAGAGATGGAGTCCACTGCAGCATGATCCTCAGACATGGGATGTCCTCAATTACTTTCGTAGCTCAAGGTAGTGAAAGAGTTAATCAGGGTTGTGTACTATAGAACTGGCATATTGTCAGCCAGCAGTTCAGATGTTCTAAGCCCAACATTTTAAATATCTTATTCGTTGCCGTTTTTTAATCTGTGGTATTGGTTGCATGTGCTCAAGAAATATTTTGTCAAACTTCAAATTCTAAATGTCTAAAAAATGCAGGCCAAAAAAGAAATACATGATGTAGGTACAGTTGTTAAAAGAATGACACAGACTTTTTCTCTCTCTTCTGAAAAATATTGCTGCCAGGGCTTAGTACATTTTACCAGCTTGCCAACAATATCTTATTATCATTATTACAAAAAATGTTGATAAAAAAAGGTTTTTCGTAACATGTACCTCGTCCCCAATGTGTGACTGCAGCATGCGGATGAGACAGGCGCCTTTGCAGTAGGAGATGCCATCAAAGATTTCATCAATTTCACCGGGATGCCCAACTTCCACCTGGCAATAAAGAAAAAGGTTTAATCAAACAATGCAAAGGACACAAAAATAATCATCCTTACTGATGCTGATGCTCCTCAGTTGTTAGGGGGTTTTTGTAACTGACTGAAGGAGAATCAGGAAACAAACACACGGGTAGAGCACAAAAATACTTGGCTGGATGACCTCAGAGAAGTACTCCAACTGAATAACTTATCTACAACATAAGCCACCCAACAAGCCCTTGACTAAAAATTGCACCTCCTCTCAACATCTAACATTACAAGAGGAAAGAAAAAGTAAAAGTAAAGTAAGTAAAGTAAGTAAGTTACTAACCTTAATTAAAATCAAACATTTTTAACTTACACCCTTAAAAAGGAAACAATATTTTTCTCTATGCAACAAGGAAGTTCTTCAGATATTAACTGAAAAACTTCAGGAAGGAAGAAAAAAGCATTTCTTTTTTACAGTTGGGGAGAGAAAAAAAGATGTCTGACCTCCACAGGGTGACTGGTGCTGAGAGCGTCCAGTTTCAAGGCATATGCCTGGTCTCCGTTGATGAACGTCATCCACACATCCATCTCGGGGTAAAGGGAGGCCACACATTGATACTCTATCCAGGTCGCAAAGCCCTCCTTCAGCCACAGATCAGTCCACCATTCCTAAAGAGGTTGAAAATGACAGATGGATAATAACGGAAGACTCTATCAGACGTGTCTTCAAATCATCGTAAAACAAAAAACGATAATGCTAAAAATAAATAAACACCACTTAAACTTAAGTCTATCAGAAAGAATAATGCACGTAAGAAAATAGAAGAAACAAAATTGGATTTCCCCTGCTGGTACTTTACTTTTTTTCCCACTTCCCCATCCAAGTGAAAACAAAATCACTATTAGTATACTAAAAAAAACACTCAACAAAAGCCTTAGACGTGATGATGAGGAAGTGTTATTTCTTTCTTATAAAATCAAAACAACTCCAGATGAGTGGTTTCCATTAACAAATCTTTCCCTGTTCAAAGGGGAGAAAACAGAGAGCTGAGTTACCATGGTAACAAGATTGCCAAACCAGTTGTGTGAGAGCTCATGGGCCACGACCACAGCCACTCGCTGGCGAGTCAGGGCAGATGAGTGGACACTGTCAACCAACAAGCAAGTTTCTCGATACGTGACCAGACCCCAGTTTTCCATTGCACCTGAAAGACAACAAATATTTTATGTCTGGATGAGCGCAACTTGGCACATAATTGGGTAGATAAAAGCACATGGATGTACTTAAAAACAATTTAATTTTGATACTGAATTTGCGCACAATAAAGACTATTCAACTAATCAATCACAGAACTAGAAAACAGCAAGAAAAGCAAAATTCCTCTGTTATATTTTTCCTCATCTCATAACATCGATGTACAGAGTACTGGCCATACATCTATGTATAGTAAAACCCTGATAACACCAACTTCACGAGAATTTCTTCATCTTAAGCAGATTTCAAGTAAAAGGAAGTTGCAAGACATAAAATAAACGGTGAGGGCAAGTGAAATCCTTTCGTGGTAACAGGAATTCTGTATTACATGACTTCGTGTTATCAATCAAAATCTGCTGTATTAGCATACCTATGGGGAACTCAGACAGTGTGATCAGATCTAGTTTGGGTAGTCCGTACGGAACATCAAAGTACCACTCATAGTATGACAGCGCTTTGGTTGCAACCTGCAGACGCAAAAATCAGAGAATCTTCAAACATACAAGTTTTTCTAATTTCCAGTGCAAATATGATAAAGATAAAAGTATTCACCAGTATCAAGTATATTGTACATTATGACAGCAGTTTTTACCTCCGATATATCGTAAACACACTTCTGACAGCACTACTCAGACCAAGAGCATGAAAGACAAAAGAGCAATCAAGAGTTCAAAACGCTTCACAACAGATAAGAACCTTTGCAGTTTCAATATGTTCTTTAAAAAGCACAAATCTACTAGTTAAAAAAAGACAAAAACAATACAACTTTGTAGTTTCAATCTGTCCTTTAACAAGCACAAATCTACTAGTTTAAGGGGGACTTGCCTTATCTAAAAAGTCTAAAGTGTGAAGAAAAATAAAACAATATATACACTTTATCCTGCATTCTCTTCCCCACAAAAATATAACTTGAAAACGGGTTTCACCAACAGCGAATGTTATCATTGAGCAGAGCATTGAGTAAAAGAAACAAGGTGGGAAAAAGACAAGTGCACTGTTGTTGCTGGTTGGTAGGCGCTATCCAGTTGTTCTTTCCCCCTTCTTTTTTCTAAGTGTTACTATTTACTATTTTTGTGAAAGAGTGCTGCTAATAGAGTGCTAACCCACATACAACAAAAGCTCACATAAATATAACAGACATAGAAATGTAGTTTACTGGGAGACAGAATGATGATAATGATCACATTTAAGGCAAAACAGGTTGAGATAATAAAATCCTTGAAAAAGGAGTAGAAAATAGAGCAGGCCATACCAATATTCAAAGTGCTGACCAACCACCTACGTGTACATCCTACCACTCAGCCTTTATGAGAGGCAAAAACCGTAAGTCAGCACCATATCTTCAGATGTACTCAATGATAACCATAAACAGAGG